AGTTTTTGAATTCCTCTGAAGAATTCAATTATTTTCACAAATAATGAAATTCTTCGCTAAAATTCTAATATTTTCAATATTTACAATTTTAATAAAATTTTTCAAAAGAATTTAATTATTTTTGTAAATAATAAAATTTTTGAATCCTTTTGAATTGAATTCCTCTGAAGAATTCAATTATTTTCACAAATAATGAAATTCTTCGCTAAAATTCAAATATTTTCCATATTTACAATTTTAATAAAATTTTACAAAAGAATTCAATTATTTTCGTAAATAATACAATTTTTCAGAGAAATTTAATTATTTTTAATGCAATTTTAATTCAATTCTTTGAATTAATTCAAATAAAAATAATTTAAAATTAAAATTGTATTGAAAACAATTTAATTCAATTATTTTCAATGGAATTTCAATTCAATTCTTTGAAATCATTCTAATAATGCAAATATAAAAAATATAAAATCAAAATTTTTGAAAATAATTAAATGATTATAAAGAATGGATTTAAAATTGTATTGAAAATAATTGATTTCCTCTAAAGAATTCAATTATTTTATCTAAGATACAATTTTCAAGAAATTTTTTTCTAAGGAAATCAATTTTTTAAATAATTTTATAAAATTCTTTCAAAGAAATTGATTATTTTCTAAAATTCCGATAAAATTTGTTTATAAAAGAATTAAATTATTATTTTCATATAAATAATAAAATTCAAATCAAATAAAAATCAAATTATAATTCCTGAAGTAAAATAAAGAAATATTTATATAAGTTTGTGAACAAAAAGTTGAAAATTTGAATATTTTAATTTAATAATTATAAAAATGAAAAATTTGTCTTTTGAAAAATTATTTTAATTAGAATTTTTTTCAATGTAGTTAAATTCTCGTTAAAATTAAAAACACTTATTTAAATTAAATAATTAAAGTTTAGAAGAATTTAGAATTGAAATTGTTAGCAGGAAAACATTTTTTTTTTATGGAAATATGGAAAATAAAATTTATACTTAAACAATTAAAATTTCTTTGAAAGAAATTGTGATGTTTTACTACTAATTAGTATAGTTTTTGACTAAATTTAGTCGAAATGTAAAAATTTTATTTGCGACGAGAACACATTTTTATTGAACATCATCAAAAAATGAAGTTTTACTTTTTACTCCCTATAGGGAAAAAAGTGTATGAGAATAAAATTCGTGGAGGAATAATAAATAAAATGATTAATGTCCATTATGTAAGGAAGCGTCGCATTCAAAAAGTGGCAAAGCCGACGTTCTGTCTTTCTCTCTCTCTCTCTAACTCTCTTTACTCTCTATTTAGTGATGGACGAATCAGCGTTTACGTGCGCGCCGTCGGATGACGTTTGTCGTATATATAAAGCGGTGAGCTTTACCTCGTTTCTGGCAATTACCAAGAATGCCAAAATCCGCCGCAAGAATCAACCCCTGCCGATGTGATGCGATGCTGCAGAATAGGCTGCAGCAGCAACCCCTCGACACCCAAAATAAGCGCTTGCGCTCGAATCAAATCCCAAATGCCGGACTTCACTGCCACCACTCCGCAATAATTCCCGATTCCCTCTCTTTAATCATCAACTATATGCTCGCCTCTCTTATCCTTCACACTCCCCTTGTTGGCGGTTCACTGATGGTTCTTCTTCTCCCCCTCTCTCTCTTTCTTTCTTCTTTTCTTTTTTCTTATTCTCTTTTTTCTCTTTCTTTCTTCTTTTCTCCTTTCTTTTCTTGTTTTCTCTTTCCTTCTTCTTTTCTTCTTTCTTTTCTTGTTTTCTCTTTCCTTCTTCTTTTCTTCTTTCTGCTTCTCATTCTTTCTTCTTTTTCTCTTTTCTACTTCTCTTTTTTATTTTTTTCTTCTCTTTCTTACTTCTTTTGATCTTGTCTTTCTTCCTTTTTCCTCTTTTTTGGTATTTTCTTTTCTCTTTATCTCAATTATTCTCTTTTCTCTCTTCATCCTATTTCTGTTTTTCTTTCTCTTTTCGTATCCTTTTTCTCTCTCTTCTTCTCGCACTTTCTGTATTTTTTTCGCTTTTCGTATTCTTTCTTCTTCATTTTTCGTCTTTTTGCTCTCTTTTCTTCAAGAAAAGACAAAAAAAGGCAGAAAGATAAATGAAAAATACGAAAAGAAAAAATGATAAACAAAGAAGAGAGAATACGAAGAAAGAAGAAAAAAGAAGAGAAAAAAATACAGAAAGAGAGAAGAAGAAAAAAGAAGAGGAATTTTCCTCATTTTCTCTCTTTCTGTATTTTCTTTTCTCTCTTTGTATTCTCTCTTATTTTTTTATTATTTTCTCTTGTTCTCTCATATTCTGTATTTTTTTGTCTTTTCGTGTTCTTTCCTCGTATTTTTTTCTTCTTTTCTCTTTCTGTCTATTTTCGTATCCTTTCTTTTTTTCCTTCTTCTCTTTCTTCCTTTTTCTTATAATATTTTCTCTTCTTTTCTCATTTCACGTTCTTTCTGCTATTTTTTTTTGTCTTTTCGTATTATTTCCTCGTATTTTTTATCTCTTTTCTTGTTCTTTCTTTTTTTTCTTTTTCTCCCTTCATATTCTTTCTTCTATTTCTATTCTTTTTGTATTTTCACTTCTTTCTCTTCTCTTATTCTCTAATAAATTCTTCTCCTCTCTCATTCCCTATTCTTCTTTTTCTCTCTGATTTTTTTTTGTGAAATAGAAGAAGGAAACAAGAGAGAGAAGAGGAAAAAAGGAAGAAGAGAGAATTCTTACTCTCTCTTCTCTCCTTCTTCTATTTCACTTCCTCCCAGGGAATTCTACCTCTATCTCACTCTCTCTCTCACTGATTCTCTATTTTCCCTTCTCCCTCTGTCCCACTTGTTCCGACTCTCTCACTCGAATTGCAACTTTTGTCTCTCTTCCTCCCATATTTGTATAATAATTTTTTCTCTCTCTTCGACGCATGTGTGGCTATTTCTCTCTCTCTCTCTTGCTCCCTTTCTCTCCCGCACGAATGCGTCTCACTTGCACTGCTCGTGGTTTTGGTTGACTCGCGTTGATGGGGTTGATCTCCCTCCCCCCACCTCCCAATTCTTTAGCTGCCTTTTGCATTGAGAACCACTGTCTCGCCATGTTTGCAAATCCCAGCAGGCATTGGTCGATGGTTGTGTCGTCTGATTTTGTATTGGCCGCTGCTGGTGACGCCCTCCATATTCCGGTACAGCCTTCCCCACGATGGATATGTATGGTTGATGTGGTTGCGTACACACTCCAACCAACAAGTCTAACTCGTGCTTTCGCTCGTACCAGCCGCACGTTCCCATAGATTGTACCACAAAAATCGGTTTTTAGACGCGATTTCAATAAAAACCCATTTTTTCGAATTATTTTTTTTTTAAATATCTCTCTTTGCTTTTTTGTAAATAAAAATTGGGTAAATTAGATTGATCAGATCAACAAGAAAAAATGCCATATAGTAGTTTTTTGTCTTTGAACTGTAATGTTGTAAACATCCGTGAACCGTAATTGTGAAATCATTGTGAGCTGTAATTGCTGAACAAAAATCTTTGTGAACTATCGTTGTGTACTTGCTGTATGCAAAAAATTTGCTGTGTATTATCATTGCTGAAGAAAAATTTGTTGTGTACTGTAATTGCTGAACAAAAATCGTTGTGAACTATCATTGCTGGAGAAAAAAAACCTAAAATTATCAACGGATTACTCCAATTACTTTGGAATGTAAATGAAGGATTAAAGGCATAAAGGATTGATTGAATTTTTGAAATAATTTTGACCCAATCTATAAATTCTGTTTTGACCGCATCACACAATTTTATCGACAAGAAGTTTAAGAATGATCAGCATTAGAATAAATAAAATTACAACATAAAAGAAAGATGAGATTTTTCTTCAAATTAACGGATGATCGTTGGCGAACAACCTCATGGACCTGAGAATTCAAGTGCTATTTTTGAATAATTATTATTAGTGTTCGATTGCTTTTTTAAAATCCTTTTAATTATTATCATCATCAGAATCATCAAGAGCTCCATAAAAACTGAATACACACGAAAATAATTATATTTTACGGATTATAATAATTGTAATAGCAAAAACACCAACAACAATCAACAAGAGTGATAATCCTAAAGAAATTTAAGTATTCTACAAAGAATTTTTGTTTAATTGATCGTGATTATCAAGAATAATAGAAAAGAAAGTCAACTGTAAACAATTCTCATTGTCACATGTTTGAAAATCAACTTAATTATTTAATCAGCTGTGTTGATAAACAATAATTATAGACAGTGCGACTAATTTTTAACAATGCGATTAATTAGAAAGAGTGGAACTAACTAAAACAATGCGACTAATTATTAATCGATTGATTATACTTAAAAACGGTGGAAATAATTATTAAAAGGGTGATTAATTAATTAGAAACGGTGAAACTAATTTATTAACAAGTTTATTACTAACAGATTTTAGAAAACGGTGAATTAGAAACAGTGAAACTAAATAGAAACAAGACTAATTATTTACTGATTGAATTGATTAGAAACGGTATGGAACTAATCAGAAACAGTGCAACTAATTAGAAAGAATACAAAACTAATTAGACACAGTGAAACTAATTAGAAACAGTGCAACTAATCAGAAAGAAAGCAAAACTAATTAGAAACAGTGCAACTAATTAGAAGCAGTGCAAATAATTAGAAACAGTGCGCAACTAATTTCGAAACAGTGCGCAATTAATTAGAAACACTGCACAACTAATTATTAACATCACAACTATAATTATAAACATCAAAAGTAATTATCAACTGTGCAACATAATTAACAAACAGAATAATTACACAAAAAAGAGTGCAAACAATAACTTTTATTTATTTAACAGTAAATATTATTTTCTTTTAACAAGAAGCGGATAGTAAAAAAAAATTTTTGTTTAAACAAAAAGCAAACAAACATTATCAAGCATTATTTTGTTTTAAAAAAAGAAAATAAATAAACAATATTAATTTATCGGTAATTGTTAATCAGCATGAGAATACAGCACTAAAAAGGAAAAGAATCTGGAAAATATGTAAAAATATGATTTTCTTTTTCTTTGTTATGCGATAAATTTATGAGATAATTTTTTTGGGGGAATACATATGAAATTTGATGCAGAGAAAATCATGGATTCGCAGCAATTGGTCGAGACTGTTTCACAAAATAGTCAGGATTTGGTTATAGCGAAACCGACAAGTAGCACGCCAAGGCATAGCATTGAATCAATTCTTGGATTGGTGAATCGAAAGAGGAGTCATCAAGTTATGGAAGACTCTGGATATAACACCCAGGAGAACAGCACTGGTACAAAATTTTTAATTAATTTATTTATAACTATATTATTAATTTATAATAATTATAATTTAAATTAAATTTATCTTCTCTATAGTAAAGAAAAAAAAATTATTTTCTTGAAATAAACTACTTGTGTACTAGTAATTTAATATTTTTATAGTAAATAAATATTTATTTATAGCAAGTAAATATTTATTTATAGCAAGTAAATATTTTTGTATAGCAAATAAATATTTTTGTAGCAAATAAATAATATTCATTTCTATCAAGTGAATATTTTTGTTGTAAATAAATATTTATCAGTATCAAGTAAATTTTTTTTTTGTATAGTAAATAAGTATTTATTTCTATCAATTGAATGTTTTTTTAGTAAATAAATATTTATTCGTATTAAGAAATATTTATCTAGTTATCAAATATTTCTTTGTTTCAATTAAATATTTTTCTAGTAAACAAATATTTTGTTGTATTAAGTAAATATTTTTGTTGTAAATAAATATTTATTTGTATCAAATAATATAAAATTATTGTTTCAAAGACAATTTATTTCATTCGTTTCATTTAAATAGAAATTATTTGATTCTAGTAAATACTTATTTGACAATTTAATTATATAAATTTATAATTAATTATATAATTGAAATTCGATCGTATATTAAAATTTTATTTTTAACGAATTAATTTATTTTTCGTATTAAAAAAAAATTATTATTATTATTTTTTATTACTACAATTAAAAATACTTTACATTTTACTTAAGAAATTAAATATTTTTAATAAATAAATTTTATTCAGGTTCATAATATTTTCATTATTTATTTATTTACTATTTAAATTTTTATTAGTAATTCCTAATTAAGAATAAAAATTATTTTTGCTATTCTTTTACATAGGAAGTATTTAGTTTTGCCAATATTTCCCTGCCGTCGGAGAAAGAGAGAGAAAGAGAGAAAGAAAGAGAAATTGAAAACATTTTAAATTTCCTTATTTCCTTAATTTAATTATTAGTTTTTTTGAAAAATTTAATAAATATTGATTAATAATTATTTATTAATAAATATTTTTTAAAAATTCTTCTTTTTAGTAGTTAACATATTAAAATAATTTTCAAAAAATATTTTTTCACACAGAAGAAAATTAAATGACACGTAAAAAAAATTTATTTATTTCTAATAAACGCGATTACCTGTTTCTGAATAAATAATTATTAATAAATCTGCGTTATCATTAATAAATAAAAGATATTTCTTATTAATAAAAATTTATAATATTCAGCAGAAAATTAAAATATTTATTTGGTATAATATTTATAGTAAACAAAATTCATTGTTAATTTTAATTAATAGATATTTATGTAAAATAGTTTTTTTCAGTAAATTCTATTGTCAATAGAAGAAATTACTGCTTTTTTGATAAAATAATATTTATTTGAGATTAAAATACAAACTATAAATAATTATATTTTAATCCATTTGCAAATTAAACCGTTTATCAAAAACAAAATTTTTTTCTTTCAAAATAGGTTTCAAAATATATTTTTATTCAATTTTTTTTATTAATCTGATAAATAATTAATATGGGAGCCCCAATAAATAAGAAATAAATATAAATAAACAAACATTCAAACGGATTTATTTATAATATTTTTCCTTTTTTTCTTACTATTATTTATTAATTTTAATTATTATTATTATTAAAAAAAAGTCATGATTATTACTTATGATAATTAGTTATTATTACTTTTATTAGTCATGATTATTACTTATAATTAGTTATTATTACTGTTATTAGTCACTATTATTAGTTATTATTATTTACTTATTATAATTAGTTATCATTATTAGTTATTAAAAAAAAAAAATAAAAAGAAATTTATAAGTGAAAAGCTTGATAAAAGCAAATCGTCTGTTAGGCGAAAAAATTTCTCTCCTTCTAATAAAAAATGAACTTCGGAAATAGAATAATTATTGTCTCGAAATAAATGCAATAATTTTGGCATAAATGGGAATAGTTGAATTCGAGGAAAGTTTGAAAACAGCACATATAATGCTTCTCATGTCAGCAAACGACTGTGTCGAGGGGTGGATAACTACTTCGGCCGGTAGAGTTAGCGTGTAATTGGAAAATCGTTAGTATCGCGTCGATCTCTTGGCTTGGCTTATGTGTCGCAGGTTTGTAATTTGTCGTCGGAAAGGGAATAGCGCGCGCGTTACTCCCAAACAAACAGGATATATATCTATAAAATGTTCTTGATATCCTTTATTTTCTCTCTCTCTCTCTCTCTCTCTCTCTCTCTCTCAATACACGCGTGTATATCTATTAGTTACATAATTATGTAGCTAATATTTTCCCTTCTCACCGATATTTTATTTCACGTGTAAACCAAAAAAATATATAATTGGTACTTTTGATTTTTATATTTAACGCATGAGAAAAAATAGGTGATACCTTCAGCTTTTACACTGAGAAAAAATATATTTTTAATTCAGGATCAACTTGAGATTTTATTTACGGTTCTGATAAATTTTATTTGATTAAAATGAAATTTTATTTGGTTCAAAGAAATTTTATTTAGTACAAGGAAATTCTATTTAGTTCAGATAACATTTTATTTGGTTTTAATGGAATTTTATTCGGTTCAAATAATTTTATTAGGTTTAAATTAAATTTTATTCGGTTTAAATAATCTTATATAGTTTAAATTTAATTTTAAACGGTTTAAATAATTTTATTTTATTCAGATAAGATTTTATTTGGTTCAAAACGAATTTTAATCGGTTCTATTTGAATCGAATTTAACCAAATAAAATTATTATTTTATTTCGTTCGAATTGAATTTTATTCGGTTTAAATAATCTTATTTAGTTCGAATTGAATTTTAATCTGTTCAAATACTTTTTTTTTGGTTCAAATGTAATTTTATTTGGTTTAATCAAGTGGATTTTTATTCGGTTCAAAAATTTCATTAGGTTCGAATTGAATTTTCTTCGGTTCAAATAATTATATTTGGTTCAATTGTAATTTTATTCTGTTCAAATAATTTTATTTGGTTTAAATAAAATTTTGTTTGGTTCAAATGGAGTTTTATTCGGGCAAAATAAATTTTATTTGGTTCAGGTAGAATTTTTTTGTGGTTCAAATCCAATTTTATTCGGTTCCAATAATTTTATTTGTATTAAATGGATTTTTATTCGGTTAAAATAATTATATTTGGTTAAAATATAATTTTATTCGATTCAAATAATTTTATTTGGTTTAAATAAGATTTTGTTTGGTTCAAATATAGTTTTACTTGGTTATAGTAATTTTATTAGTTTCAGATAAAATGCCATTTGGTTTAAAATCGAATTTAATTTAGTTCAAATACTTTTTCTTTTGTAAAATTTAATTTTATTTGGTTCAAATAATTTTCTTAAATTCGATATAATACATTTTAGTTTGATCAAGCGAATTTTTTTTCGGTTCAAAAATTTTATTAGGTTCCAATTGAATTTTATTCGGTTCAAATAATCTTATTTAGTTCGAAATAAATTTTAATCTGACCAAATAAATTTATTTGGTTCAAATAATGTTATTTGGTTCTAATGGAATTTTATTAGGTTCAAATAATTTTATTTGGTTTGATCAAGTGGATTTTTATTCGGTTCAAAAATGTTATTATTAGGTTCGAATTGAATTTTATTCGGTTCCAATAATTTTCTTTGTATGAAATGTAATTTTATTCGGTTCAAATAATTATATTTGGTTAAATGTAATTTTTTTTTGGTTTAAGTGTAATTTTTTTTGGTTCAAATCAGGGACCGACACGGACACGAAAATAAACGAAAATTCGTGTCGTGCCCGTGCCGTGCCTTGGCACGACACGAAAAACGTTTTGTAATTCGTACATTTTTGGTAATTCTTTTTTTTTCTAAATTGTAAAAATGAAAACTAGAAATGTTCTACTTTCGATTAGAGAAAACAATTCAGTTAACCAGTATATGGAATCGATTCTATAGTTGCTTGCTAGTTATTAATTTGTAATTTAAGTTCAAGTCCAGAGACTTAAATTTGAGAAGAGGGGACCCTTTGCAAAAAATAAGGTACAAGTCCAGAGACTTAAATTTGAGAAGGGGGGACCCTTTGCAAAAAATAAGGTACAAGTCCAGTTAAATTTGAGAAGGGGGGACCCTCTGCAAAACATAAGGTTCAAGTCCAGAGACTTAAATTTGAGAAGGGGGGACCCTTTGCAAAAAATAAGGTACAAATACTTTAATTGAATTAAATTGTAAAATTTCAGGAATCTTTAATCACTGTGTCTGGTTAATAATTAATCGATATTTACTATACTAACACTAATTAATTAAAATTTACTAATTCAAAATCAAAAATGTCAGTTACAATTTTAAATTAGTAAACATTTTTACTATTTTAAATTGAGAGAGATAATAATTATTATAACTTCAAATAGAATTGGATCCGGTACAAATAATTTTCATTAGTTCAATATAATACATTTTAGTTTGATCAAGCGAATTTTTATGTGGTTCAAAAATTGTATTGGATTCAAATTGAATTTTATTCGGTTCAAATAATTAGATTTGGTTCAAATTTAATTCTATTTGGTTTAAATAAAATGTTGTTTGGTTCAAATGGAGTTTTATTCGGTTCAAATAAATTTTATTTTGTTAAAGTAGAATTTTATTCTGTTCAAATAATTTTCTTTGGTTCAGACAAAATTTTTTCTGGTTCAAATGGAAGTTTATTTGGTTAAAATCAAATCTATTTGGCTTAAATAAAAATTCTATTTTTGTCAAATATATGTTTAATTAACTCAAATAAATTTTATTTGTTTCAAAGAAATTTTTTTCCCTGCTTCTATATTAATCTAAAAACATTCGTTATGGTAAAATATTTTCTCATTTTAACTTCAAACTAAAATCACTTTTTCTTATCTTTTCCGTCGTAAAATGTAATTCAGTGAAAAATTAACTTGTCACAATTTTGAACTAAAAAGATTTCAATTTGAT